CGAGTCTCCTGCCTCCGCCTCCCAAGTAGCTGGGACCACAGGCGCCTGCCACAATGCCCAGCTATTTTTTTTGGTTGCAGCCGTCATTGTTGTTTTGGTGGATCCGGGCTGGGGATTCGAACCCGCCACCTTAGGTGTATGTGGCTAGTGCCTTAGCCGGTTGAGCTATAGGCGCCAAGCCCCCACTGGGTGTTTTTGCCGCCGCTGCCTGTCCTGCTTAGCAGCTGACTTGTCCCGGGGCCAGCAGTCCGGCCTTCCAATGGTCTGAGGTATAGTGAACTGGCCCCCTGTTTAAAAAGTTTGAGGACCCCTGTCTAGGTGGTCTGGGCCAGGTTCGAACCCACCAGCCTCACTGTATGTGGCTGACGCCCTACCCAGTGAGCAAGGGCCCTGCCCGCATAGAAGTTCTTTTAAGGACCTCAGATTCTTCCTCTTTCAAGGTCCCTTTCTGGGCACAGGAGATTAGAGAAACTCCTCCTCTAATTCAAGGGGCCAGGTTCCAACCCCCCTATTCTCTTATCACCTCACTGGAGACTGCTATGGCCTCAGTGATGCTGGGGACAGTGGTGGGGGAGAGCTGAAGCTGTCTCTTTAAGAGCAGGAATGGCGTGGGGGAGTCCCTGAGCCTGGGGAGGCTGACTTGTTCTCTACCTGCCCAGGTTTGCTTAGGGCGTGGCAGCTTCAGATAAAAGCAGGAGTCAGGCTTGGCAGCCTCGATTTCTCCGAGCCTCTGCCCAGCCTGGTGAGCCACACAGGTGAGCGCTGGGCCCCATCTGCCAAGCCCTTTTTGTCTCTGCTTCCACTCTGTCCCTGCCACAGAGAAGCTCTGCTGTCCAAGACCCTAGGTGGATTGGGGGCCTCTGGACATAGGGAAGAGAGTCGGTGGCCCCAGGGCATCTGGGACTGGGGGTATGTGTGTTCTGGACACCTCTAGGGAAAGGTCAGGAAGCTGCCTGGGGAAGCTGTAAAATGGGGTGTCAGTTAGGAAAGCTCAGGGACACAGGGTGGGGGGCTGTTCCACACACCCCAGAATAGAGGGGAAAGTAGAGGTGGAAACAGCCCTCAGACAGGCCTGGAAGGAGCAGAGAGGGCTGCTCTCCTCTCTAAGCCTGCCTCCTCCTGCATTGAGGGAACAGCCCAGGGGTGAGGGCAGACACCAAGCTCCTGGCTCCCAGTGGCCTCCAGGAAAGCCAGGCTGGAAACTGCTGTACAGAGGCTGGGAGAGGCTGTCCATCCATCAGTCCCTTGCGTCCAATGCTGGGTGATGTCATGGGGATGGGGGATGGTAGGGCCCTCACAGGCCAGGGTGGCTCTGAGGAGCCTGTGGAAAGAGGTTGGAGAGGTGAGTCTCAGGGTGACAGAGCACAGCCTTATGCTGAATTTACAGGGGTTACAGGGTTGCAAGGGCAACATGGGCTAACAGTTGTGCCAACTTCATCAGGCTGCAGAGATTATGAGGGAATGAGTGTGAAGAGCTGAGAAAGCGCCCAGCATGGGGGCAAGTCTCGATGAGCACCGGCTGTTATTACTAGTATTAGTATCATATCATCATGGGGTGACAGAGCCTCCCGTCGGTCCCCTGCAATCTTATGCCCACGCCACCCTGCCACCTGTCCACCCACCCGCTCCTGCTCTCCCAACACTTCTTTAAAGTCCTAAATACTTTAATAATGCTCCAAAGCTGCAGGCCCTCTTTCTGCAAACACGAAAAAATGGGTGCTCAAACTAATGAGCTCATTCCGTCTGGAATTGAGAGGGAGGTTGAGAGGATTCCCAGGGCACAGGGAAATGGAGTCGAGGAGGAGTCTGCGCAAACATTCGGGAAACCCCTGCACAGTTGGTTCTGAACACACCAACCCCTCTCTGAGCATGTGTTTTGCCATCAGTGAAATAAGGACATAATGGCTGGCTTCAGGGGTTTGGGCGGTGGTCAGGGGTCTTACTGCCGGCTCACAGGGTGCTAGGAGGATAGGGCTGCTGCCAGGCCAGGCGGGGGAGGGGAAGTGCTCCTTACTGTGCAGGCCTACCCGGGAAGGAGGAAGTGTTCGCTGCTAAGAGGAGCTTGGCAGGGCCTAGGGTGGGATGAGGATCCAGAGGGGGCGACTGGCTGGCCGGGGCTGGGGCTGGGGAGGAGGTGGAGGCAGGGGTGACAGAAATGGAGCTGGGGCTGCAGCTCAGCCAAGTGTGGCCCTTCAACCCCTACCCTACCCTTGGAGATGTCTCCTCCCCGCACCTTGTCCTGAGCAGCCTGAGGAGACAGCACCCTAGCGCCCGAAGTCTGCAAAATCGGGGCAGGGCCCGGCAGGCTCCGAGCTGTCTGTGGGAGACAATCCCGGAACCGGGCCTCCTGCCACCTGGCTCCCAACACCCCATTTCCCACAACACCCCAAGGCCCTGACAGTCCTGAGTTACAGCAGCTGCTAGGGAGTTAGCCCAATTTAAACCCCTCTTTTTAGCTAGGTGACCTTGGGCTCCTGTTGCCTCACTTCTCACAGCCTCAGTTTCCCCATCTGTATGATGACGATAGCAGGTGGGCAGTACCCCCTCATTTGGCCTTGTCCAGTGAGTTATTTCAGGGGTTCTCTCGTTAGGTCCGAGTCCTGCCCAGCCCTACTTCACTTCCCAACTCCTTATCTCAGCTTGGAGTCTCAGTGCCAGCCCTCCTGTCCCCAGGGCTGAGTACTATGGCTGGGAGCAGTGTGGAGGTGGTGGGCACTGGAGGCAGAGGGCCTGGTGGGCCAGTGGCCCTGCTAAGCTGAACCCACCCCTGGATCCCTCTAGGCCAGCGCCCTGACATGCAGGAGGCCGCCCTGAGTCTGCTCGTCCTCCTGGCAGGTGAGTGCCTGACCCTGAGCTGCTGCTGCTTCCTCTGGACCCCTAGCTAGGTGGTGGCCAAGCCTCCTATCTCTCTCATGTGCTTTCCTGCCTCCCCTGGGGAGGTGGTGGCTCTTAGGACAGTATCTCCTTGAGGGTAAAAACATTACACTAGTGATTTCAAGGGACTCAGGTCAGTGCTTCTTATGGCAGTGGCCCACATGGCTAGTAAGTCACTGTCTTCCCCATTCTCTCATACATCTCCTGAGGACACCAAGGAGAGGGCTGGGCCCAGTGCTACTGTGTCTTTAATGCCTCCATAAAGCCCTTTGTGCCTCAGTTTCTTCATCTATAAAAGTGAGGGCAATAATAGCTGCTCGTAGAGCCATTGAGAGGATTAAATAAGTTAATATTGAAAAGCACTTAGAACAGAGCCTGGTGCAGAGTAAGCCCTGTGTGTTCCTGCTTTAAGGTAATTAAAAAGTATTAATCTCCCTTTAACAGGGCTTAGGCCCAGCACTAAGGCAACCCACTGCTTCTAACCAGAATTCCATCCTAGTCTTTGCTTTCATTGTATTTCTCTTTATCTGTCACATTGGGTAAGACTAGTGTCCCAGGCAGGGCAGAGATATAAAGGTGCATTTTTAAGTAAAGTGCATATAAGTTTATAATAGCACCCCGATTTATAGAGGGGAGATGAGCACATGCCAGCACAGTCTGTCTGGATGTGTTGGAATTGGGAAGATCTGTGAGAGTGACTGGCTTTGGGGAACAGGACCATCTGTCGTCTTCACAAGGAAAGTGCCCCGTTTCTGCAGGAGGCATAATGGCTTAACCACGTGTCTGGAAACATGGAACCAGATGATGGCCCAAACTCTCCCAGATTAGGCCCTATTTCAGGTGGAAAAATGCTGGCATGACTTGAATGTGTGGGGGCTGAGTGGGCAAGTCCTCGTTTCCACGATGGGACATGCTGAGGCAGCGTCACCATCTCCCCCACATCCCCACTTCTCCCCACCAGGCCTGCCTGCCCTGGACGCCAATGACCCAGAAGGTGAGTCAGACTGGACTCCTTTGCCCATCCCACCCCTAACTCCTCCAGTGGAGCCCCTGCATCCTGGCTATTGTCCTGGATTCATGTTCTTTTTTCTTTCCTTGCAGATAAAAACAGTCCTTTCTACTATGGTGAGAGTTTGTGCCCTGATTTCACTTCCTTCCACCCCACATGCCAAGGGTCTCACACAGGGCTCGGTGAGGGTCTGATGTGGGTGATACAGAGACAAGGACAGGAAGGGACTGGGATTGGGGTGTTGAGCAGTAGATGTGGCAGATTGAAGGCAAGGGAGATGGCAACCTGGTCTTGGAGAGGTTGTATTCCAGCAAGGTAATTAGACACATGCAAGAGATGAGGACAGGTCACAGGACGCCATTGTTTGTTTCAAAACAACTACTGGGAGAAAAGTGATTTGGGAAGACTTCCTGGAGGAGGTGAGCTATTCCTCCAAAATTCTCATTGGGTTCCAGATTCCAGGGTCTGCTCTTCCTCACTCCTCCATGCCCCTCACTCTGCTGCAACCACACCAGTCTCATTGTTGCTCAAACACTCTGCAGCAGCCTCCGGCCTTTGCTGACCCCTCTGCTGGAAGCCGTCCTTCCAAGATCCCCACAGTCCCTTCCCTTGCCTCCTTCAGGCCTCTGCCCAAATGCAGCCTCCTCAGAGAGGCCTTCCTTGACCCGTCTCTCTAGAACAATGTTTGTCAACCCTTTTAATCTCACAGCACACTTAAATTATGTTCATCCAAAAAAAGTGTAAAAAAAAGAATATACTGTGCTTTGAACTCCTTTTGAAAATGATTTAATTTATGCCCTTTAAAGATTTTCACAGCACACCTGAGATCCTCTCATGGCACACCGGTTGAAAATCACTGCTTGGGAAGTGCTGCCTTTGACTTTCTCCTCCCTGCCCCATCTGTGTCTCTGCACGTGGCTCCTCTCTACCTGAGCCCACACGTGCTTGCTTGCTGTGTGTGAACCAGAATGTGAGCACCTGGAATTTTGCCTGTTGTCTGAGTGCTATGACCTCAGCACCGCACACATCATAGGCGCTGAAGACTTATTTACCAAGTGGATGGGGGGGTGGATGAGGAGGACGCAGGCTGGTATCGACCCCCTCTGCTTTTCTCCTAGACTGGCACAGACTCCGGGTTGGCGGGCTCATCTGTGCAGCGGTTCTGTGCGCCATCGGAATCATCGTCCTTATGAGTGAGTGGAGCTGCTGGTGGGAGCTGGCAGGGCAGGGCCAGGGTCCCCTCCCCTCACCACTCACCTCTCTCCTATAGGTGGAAAATGCAAATGCAAGTTCAGGCAGAAGCCCAGGTAGGATGGGTTCCCAGCAGCAAGCCTGCCTTGTGCAGGATAGACACTTCATGGTAAAAGAGCTATATCTTGCAGAAAGAGGACAGGCCTCCAGATCTGCCTGGGAGAGTTCTTGCTACTAAGATTTCCCAGGTTTATTGTTTCATAGCTAATAGTCCCCAGAGGACTCCAAATCCTGAAATGCTTTTGTCCCCGGGATTGTTCAATCTTCCATGGAAAAGCAGCCGTGTCTAGGCAAACTGAGAACCCTCTAGTCCTGAGGGAGAGGACAAATGGGGGTGGATACAGACCTTGCCGCTTTGTCTCCCCAGTCACCGGACAGGAGATGCTCCGCCTCTCATCACTCCAGGTAAGGTAGGGGCAGCATGGGGCTGGGGGGAAGGTGAGGGATGAGGTGTGTGTTTGTGCTCACACTCACACACACGCTGGAAAGAAAGAGCTCAATCCACCCTCACAAATGGACTCTGTCACCTCTCCCAGGCTCGGCCCATAACTGCTGAGGATGGACCAGCCCGAAGAGCATGATGGTCCTTCTCTGTCCCCACGTCCTGGCTCTGCACAGGAGCTTGAGATCCAGGGTGGAATTCTCCCTCCTTTCCTCAGACTATCTTGCCAGGGCCTCATCTCACCTGTCACAGGAGGGTCTGTTTATTCATTTTTTAAATCTAAAATGATCTTGCCTCTGGCCCAAGCAGCATCTTGATTCCCTGTGTGTGCACTGGGGTTGGGTTTGGGGCCGGGAGCAGGCAGACGTGCACTGGTGGCTGAACCTCTCTGTTGGAAAGATCCCTGGAGGGTTGGTGGACGATGTGGGGTCTGCTTTCTGCCTTGATGGCTGTGGGAGCCTCATGTGCAATTTAAGGTTTTTTAGTAGCCAAATGTAGGGCGCTTTTGAGAGTGAAAGAGAATTCTAACCAGATGGAGTGCTGGGACACCCGGATGGACGCTGGGAGTGTCTCAGGGGGACCAGGCTGTCATGATGGAAGGGCTCAGGCAGCTCACAATTTCGGTCCCTAGGACCCTCTCAAGCACCCCTGAGACCTCACTTTGATCAGGAGACCTTTCCAAATCCCCATATGTCCCTGTGAGACCTTTAAATAATTCCCGTGATATCCCTACTAATATACAATGGGCACAGGCTGTGAGAACTTCCCTGCCTCAGACTCCCTTGAGACTCCCCAGTACCCAATAAAGTATCCAAAATGTCCCCACAAGCCAACCCATAAAATGCCCAAAACTCTTCAAAACGCACAAAAATATCTCCTCCAAAGCTCGAGAATAACCCCCCAAAAGAGACCCACAATAAACTCGTAACCTGTTCCCTCATCATGTCCTTACATCCTTCAAACATCCCCTGAGGCCCCCTTAATCACAAGCCCGCATCCAGAGGCCCCTGTGGCTCCCCTAGCAGCTGAACAGCGCTTCCCTGGGGCCGCCTCCGCACCCAATCCCAGCACTACTCCAGGGACCCACCCCTTCCCCATGCCCTGTCCCAGAGAGCCCACAGGAGCCGGAGAGGCGGTGCACAGAACATTTATTAAACCAGCCTCAGTCCGGCCACCGGGAGGGGCTACTGGGCACCCGAGACACGCCCCCACCCCTCCGCGGGTCCACCTTCTGCCGCGCATGCGCAGGAGGAGGGCAGGAGGCGGTGCCCAGGAACCGCCCAGCTCCGGGAGGTGGCCGGGTGGCTGCGGGAGGGGTTCAGCTAGGCCCTGCGCTCCTCCTTGCATTTTGAGTTTGGAGTGGTAAAGGAGTGTTGTCTCCTCAGTACTTTCGTAGGGAGCAGGGAAAGTGGGAGTTAGGGGGGCACGTCCAGACCCTCTGAACAGTCTTCCCTCCTCGACTTCTGTGGGCTCTTTGCAGCGCCCCAGCCTGAGCACGTGGGTTGCCTCTGGATGGTCCGGGTTTCTGCCCAGCCAAGTTGTTGCTTCAGATTGGAAGGGTAACTTGGAAGATCCAATGGGCTAAGGTCTAGTTCTGTGGGTGATGAACTTGGGCTGTGGTCAGCATCTCAGAGGACCTGGCACCAAGTGATGCCAGGAGGTAGGCCATGGAAACGTCTGGAGCCCCAGGACGTCCTAGGCCAGTCTCCTAAGCCACGTCCAGGCTTGCGTCGTGTCTCAGGCACTGAGGTCTAACTCATGATGCTGGTAGATCTGCGTGGGGCCCTTGAAGCAAGCGGCGAAGAGGAAGCGTCTGCCGTCCACGGTGACGTGGGCGAAGGCCCGAGGCGCAACCAATGCCGGGGGCCCCAACTCCTGAACTGGCTCCAGGAGCCCCTTGTCAGGCTCCAGCCGGAAAATCTGGCTGAAGGCGAAGTCACTGCCCAGGATAGCCAACTGGTCCCTGGCGATGAGCAGAGGCTGGAAGACGTGGGCGCCGCGGGAAGGGAGTTGCTGCAGCAGGCGGAACATGGAGCCGTCCCAGCGCATGACCTGTGGGAGAGCTGCTAGTTAGGGCCAGGGTCCCCAGGGGCTCCAGAGGATGTGTCCCCCAATCCCCACAGCTTTCTTCATAAAGACAGCACCACCCAGCTGCTCAGGCCAAACCTCTGAGAGCTCTTGGCCCTTCTTTCCCCATGCAGAATCTGTCAGCAGTGGGCACAGCAGCTCTCCCAGCCACCTCCCGGGTCACACAGGGACCTGGTGAACACCTGAGTCAGATCAGGGTTCTTCTAGGCTCAGACCCCTCCCCTGGCTGCACCTCATTCCAGAATGAGTGCTGGAGAGGGTGAGCAGGGGGTTCAGAGCATCAATGGGGGAGGGTATGGCTGTAGTGGAATCTGGGGTGCTCAGAGTTACAGAGACAGAATCTCGGAGTGGAATCAGAATCTTGGAGCTGGTGTCAGCATTGGGTGTGTGGAGTGGTTTAGAGGCAGCCGGCATTGAGGGGTTACTGACTTGGTGTCCCTGTTGGGGTAGGGGGATGTAGTGCAAAGGTCAGTATGTAAGCTGGGCCAGAGTTTAAAGTCTAATGTGCAAGTAAGGTCAATGCCAAAGAGCCAGCCCTCAACGGGAGGCAGCCACACCATCAGGCCTGGCTGGTACCCCCACCTCATCCCCCTGCAGCCGGCCGCCCCACCCAGCCTCACCATGGAATCCCCGATGTAGCGTGTCAGGCACAGGAACACATCCCCACCAGCCTGGAAGTGGCGCGTGGCATAGACATCCTCGGCCTCAGGGATGTCTGTGCGCCTCTCAAAGCGGCCACCAGACCAGTGGAAGAGCACAGGCCGCTGGGAGGCTGAGGCCAGCAACAGGTGGGGCCTGCCATCCAGCTCCAGGGCCTCTGCGTCGGTGTCCCGGTGCCAGGCATGCAGGCTCTGGCGTGGATAAAAGCCGGGCCCATCACGGCACAGCAGCGTGGTGCTGCCCGCCTTGGAGGCGTCAGCCACCACAAAGCAGGGCTGCTGGTCCAGCCACAAGAGCTCAGCATCATTGGGCCGCAGCAGCCGCCGAGGGGCCAGTGCCTGCGTTGGAGCCAGGCGCAGGCCCGGGCTGGGTCGGGCCCACAGCTGCGAGCCTCCCCACAAGCGGGCAGCCAGCACGAAGAGGCTCGGGCCCAGCACCAGCGGCTTGCAGGACACTACTGAAGGCGCTGTAGGAGAGTGGGGGGCAGGTCAGGTCGGCAAGCTAGGCTGCTGGGCAGGCAGGAGGGCGGGGAGGGGGCTCACCAGACAGCTCTTCCTCAGGCCGGAAGCGCTGCAGGCTGTAGTCCCAGGAGAGAATCAGGCAGCGGCCGGCAAAGGGCTGTGCCAAGACGATGTGGGGTTCCCTCTGGTAGGAGAAGGGCTCCACGCCCAGTGCCGACTCCCCGACCGTCTGGAACCAGGACAGCTCTGGGGGTGGCAGGAGAGAGTCAGGCAGGCCCAGAGGACCCGAGCGTCCTTATCGCTGAAACATGGTTTGTGTATCTTTAAAACACGGGCCATTCACCTCAGAGGGACATAAGAGTGGAATGCTTGTCTATAGCTGTGTTAACTCATAATGACATGATAACCCTTATTCTCTAAACTGCTGTGGCATCATTCAATATTCCCTTAGTAATGGCAGTTATTGACTTAACTTCGAAACATGACTATTTTTGATACATTCTGTTACCATCTCTACTGCACTCGTGAGGAAATTAAGGCTAAGTGGCAAAGGCAGCCGGTTGCCCAGCCAGAGGCCACATTGTCCCAACACTCTCACTCACGGCTCACCCTAGCAATTAGGTGTGGCCCCATCAAGATCAAGCTCCCAGTGGATCAAGGGCAGAGTGATGGGTTTAATGTTCACCTCACTTGCATGAAAACAGCTTGTTCTGGACTTGATCTGGCACACGGACATGCCACAGCCTGGTTTCAACCATGAAAATAAAGACAATGTGGGGGGCCTGCCCCCCCCCACCTGGATAGCTCACCTCAAACGCTGCTGTCTTGAATTTGCGGGATTTTGAGCCTTTGGTACGTCAGCTTAGCTTTCACAGTAACTCATGTCCTAAGGCCACCCTTGTTGGAGGGTGGAGCCAAGCATTGACTCCAGGTTGTAATATGTCACCCTGCATCCCTGGCCTTGTTTCTAGGTGCCAAGTTGAAACAATGAGCCAAACCACCCACAACGTCCACCTAAAGGGTGCATCTTTTAAAAATGGCCATCATGGGCTCAGTACCCATACCTCAGTGGTTAGGGCGCCAGCCACATACACTGAGGAAGGCAGGCTCAGTTAGAAGCTGGCCAGGGCCTGCAAACAACAATGACAACTGCAACAAAAAAATAGCCGGGCGTTGTGGTGGGTGCCTGTGGTCCCAGCTACTTGGGAGGCTGAGGCAAGAGAATCACTTATGCCCAAGAGTTTGAGGTTGCTATGAGCTGTGACACCATGGCACTCTACCCAGGGCAACGTAGTGAGACTCTGTCTCAAAAAATAAATAAATAAATAAATAATAAAAATGGCCATCAGATCACCTCCTGCTCAAACTCCTCTCCCTATGGCTCTTGGAGTAAAGTCTTCTTTCCTCTTTGTGGCTTTCAAAGACCTGCCACTTTTGACCTCATCTTTGTCATTCCACTCACTCCCCCAAAGCCATACCTGCCCTTCTTTTAAGCCTCAAATAGGGCAGGCTCTGTGGTGTCTCAGGGCCATTGCCCTGCCCCTTCCTTCTCTCTGGAGTGCCCTTCCCTCTGGTCTTCACTTAGCTAAATCCAGATTCAATGTCCCCTCTTCAGAGGTGCCTTCTCTGGCCCCTTAACCTCTTTCATCACTGCCTGCATCTGTGACAATGTGCAGCGTGCCTATACTTGTGGCTTGTTTTATTTAATGTCTGTTTCCCCAAGCTCCCAGGACTCTAAGTCCCAAGGAGGCCAGAGCTCAGGGCTATCGTTTCACCAGTGTGTGTCTGTCCATCACTTCTCACAGGGCTGGGTGCAGAATGGACTTCAGTGAACATTTGCTGAATAACTTGAATGAAGAGTGACTCCTACATTAAACCTCCTTGTTCTATGAGTCTCACAGACCAAAGATGTGTTACACTTCAATAGTAATTATTGTCATTATTGTATTAATAGCATCTGTGTAAAGATCCTTCAGGCTTGAACTCAAATGTCCACTCCTTCAGGAAGCCATTTCTGTCCCCTCAGTTCTCATGGTTCTGGCTCTGGACTTCCCTCAGACCAATTCCTCTGCCTGTCCCTTCCCATCTCTACCCTGATCAATTATCCTGGGCCGTCACTGTCCAGAGGTGGGTCTGCCTTCCCCTGAGGCGGGCTCTGTGAGGGCAAGACCCAAGCCGTTCCCTCTCTATTGCCCAGCTCCCACAATGGTACCAAAATATATTTATGGAAAAGCAAAGTAAGTGGAAGTGAGGTGATGTTGTACATGTAGTTCTTAGCTTAATAGTTAGTGAATAAGAAGTATTTTTAAAGTGGTCAGTTTTACACTAACAACAAGAGAACTATAAAGGCCTCTTGTCCCAGACTCTGTGTCAAATGCTGTGCATGCATGAACACATCACTGAGCCATACTACTGCACTATTTATCATACCCATTATGCAGATGAGGAAACTGAGGCTTGGAAAGGTGATGTTGCTTGCTCAGCATCTCACAGCCAGGAAGTGGCAGGGCAGGGAGTGAGGGGAGCCTGTTCTTCCCCCTGTTCTTCCCCCTGTTCTCTGGCTTTCTTCTGGGGACCCCTGCTAGCCCTCCCGCCCCGCAGGGAAAGCCCTCACCTATGCCTCTGCACTTGAACGTCTTGGGGTCGAGATGGCGGAGCTGCATGTGGGCCAGGGCAGCAGGGCCTGCGCAGGCCCCAGTCCCCACGCTGGCGTTCACGGTGGGCATCCACTGCAGCAGCCAGAGGATGCGGCAGTCACACTGGAACGGGTTCCCGCGGAGGTCCCTGGGGCAAGAGGCCAGGGAGGGGCTGCGACTTGGCTGGAGGCTATGCTCCCACCCCCTTCCCCAAGCAAGGGTCAGGATGGGAACCTCCCCCCAGGTGGTACTAAAAATCTGTAGGAATCATTGCAGCCATACTCATGCATGCCAGCCCAAAGTGGACACAGATGTCCCGTACCCCTACAAACACTCCCACATCCCCTAGTCTCCCAGCCCCCTTGAGCCTCACACGTGAGTAAGGGTCTCCAGGCCTCGGAACAGGAATCTGGGGAGAGCCTCTAGATGGTTGTTGGCCAGGCTTCTGGTGGAGGGAGAGAAGGAAGCAGCATCAGCTGCCAGGAGGCCCTGTGTCCCCAGGTGATGGAATGTGAGGTGCCATCACGGAGGGCAGGGGGTGGAGGAGTCACGCACAGGTGTGTGAGTGAGCGAAGTCCTCTGAGAGCGTTCTTAGAGATGGAGCCGATCTCGTTGTCCTCAATGAAGCTGTGGAGGGAAGGTGGGGTGAAGGGAGGCCCATGGTACTTGGGGGAACTCACCCCAGGGAAGCCATAGGCCACTGGAATGTGCTGAATTGTCCCCCAACACCTCGAACAACCCCAGAGAATGTGGCCCTATGGTCATTGCCTCACTAACACCAGTCTCACCTCCAACACCTCCTGCCATCACTGCCACTACTACCAGCACCAAGACCAGCACCATCCACCACCAGTACCACCATCAACACTGTCACAGAATCACCACCACCGTCTAAGTCTAACTCAGAGTTGTTTCCTGTTCATTTGGAACATTTCCTGTTTCTGGCCTCTTTGCACATACCCTCCCTGTCCCCCTCCCCCACCAAGTCAGGTGGGGCCAGAAACAGGCTCTGGTTACTCAAGCTCTTGGTGAATCTTGAAGCACAGAGAGGCGAGGTGAGTAGGCTCATCAGCAGCCCTGACCCCATCCAAGGAGCCAGCCCTCTTGCCCCTACAGGAGGGTCCCTTGTCCAGACAACCCCCTCAGGACCACAGTCCCTACCTCCCCCTACTCTGAGAGCCACAGAGGGGTCCCTTCTTCACCTCCCAGGCCCGTTTGCTGCTGTCCCTTGGCCTCACTCACAGGTACTGCAGGTGGGACAGGCCTGCAAATGCATCGTCCTCGATCACAGAGAAGGAGTTGGATGTGAAGAGGCTGGCAAGGGAGCAAGAAAGAAATGTTTCCAGAGTTACTGCCCCATCCGACACTTTAACCTTGGCCCCTATTCTCAGCCCACACAGGCACCAACACACTCAGGGTATAGACACAAATGCTTTCACACACACACACACACGCACACGTGTGCATACACCCTCACACACGTGCATGGACACCCACTCCCTCGAGCTAGTTGCTGGCTCACCCAGGCCCTACTCACAGCAGGTGCAGTGACGGTGTCCTCAGGAAGCTGCCAGCCTTCAGCTGGGTGACTCCAGTCCTGACAAGTGAGCTGGGGACACGGGTAGTGGTGGGTAGGGGGGAAACCACCCCAGTACTCCAGTCCCAAACCAAAGTCTCCTGCTGTCCAGGAGAACATGACATGCCACCCTGCCCCTGGGTGCATTTCCCTACATGCCAGGAGAGACCGGCATCTGCCCTCCTCACTCAGCGAGCCTCCCAGCAGCGCTCAGCCCACCGCTGGCTGTCTGTCCTTTCCTCCCAGGATGCTGTCCCTGCCCTCTGCTCCCTTCCCAACTCCAGGTATTGCAGCATCCTTCACTGCCCACCTTCTGAGATCCCAATGGGCCCCTGTTTTGTTAGGGGCACCCTGCCCCAACCCCTGGGGTCCCAGGACTCCCACCCCCATCTTCAGGCCCACACTCACAGTGACAGCAGGGTCGGGGAGAAGTTCACGGGCAGGTCCAGGGAGCCCTCACACAGGGCACTGTCTTTGGAGCAGGAGCAGGGGGGAGGACACTTTCCCTTTGGGGGTCTCCAGGCCACCCCCATCCCCACTGTGGCCAGCAGCAGGAGCAGAATGCCTGGCCCGCCCATTCCCCCCACCCCCGCTGAGGCAGCTGCTTCTCTGCCCACCCAGCCGGCCGGGCACTACATCTCCTTGCCCGGCGCCCCTCCACCCGCCCGCTGGCACGCTCTGCCCAGCTTCTGCCGCCTGCTTCTCGGTCCTTCCCTCAGTCTGGTCTGTCTTTCTCCCTGTATCTCTTTGGTGTCTAATTTTCTGTTTCTCTTTCTATCCCTTTCTGTCTCTTTGTATTTCTAATTCTGTGAATTTGTCTGTTTTCTACTCTCTCTCTTTCTTTCCCTAATTCTGTCTTTGTCTCTGTTTCTCTCTCTCTTCCTCTGCTGGTCTTTAGGTCTCTATCATCTGGTGGCGTGTGTGAGTGTGTGTGTGTGTGTGTGTGTGTGTGTGTGTCTTTCTATCTGGTGTCTTTACTCCTGGTCTCTCTGCCTGCCCTTCCCAGTTTCCTGCAGTTTTTTGCCTCTTCCCACGCCCCTGCTCCCTAAGGTTTGGGAAGGGGCTCGCTGGGCACCCGGTGTGTCCGGCAAGCAGTAGGAAGAAGGGGTCAAAAGGCCATAAGAGGACCAGCTCTGGGGAAGGGACTGGATGGCCCTATGTGAGGGGGAGGGGCCACCAGGGGCTGGAGCCTCCCCCACCCCTCCCACTAGCCCCCTCCCCAGATTCTCCACTCAACGCTGTTCAGGGAGTGTGAAGAGGATGTCACCAGGGTGGGGACCGGAGACCCGGGTGGCTCTGCAGACCGGAGGGGTGTGGGAAGAGAGGCTGCTGGGGGCAGGGGACATCCTGGCCACTCCCAGCCAGCCCTCTCCCCTGGCTCCTGGAGGGCGTGGTGGGCGCTGTCTCCAAGGCTCAAAGGGGCCAGTTCAGGTCCAGCTGCTCCCTCTGGTGGCCAAACTCAGCAGGACCCTGCCCTGACCCAAACCCAGGACCTCCCTGCCTAACCCTGAAATTAACCCCTTGAATGCCCCCCACATACTGGGGGCAGGGGGATGAGGGGGCAACTTGGGGGAGAGGACAATGATGCCACATCTCTTTCAGCACTTACTCTGCACCTGCCCTTGTCCTAAAATCTCATCTATTAACTCACTCTGAACTCAGTCCGTCACTGCTCTGCAGCTGGAGAAACAGGAAGGACAGGGTCAGGTTACCCAGCTGGGGCAGAGGCAGAATTCAAACCCAGGCAGCTGGCTCAGGGCCTGTCCATGTTATTTTGTGTTCTTTCTTTGGAGATCAGAATTCATGGATATGGATCAATGGTTGTTTTTATTTGGATGAAGGTCTTAACAGCTTGGATAGATTCTGTACATTAAATAACGAAAGTAAATGACACTAGTTACCCATTCTGCAATAGTAATATATATTGAGTCCTTGCTCAATGCCAGACTTCACATGAATTACTCACAACAACTCTGTGAAATGGGTATTACTGCCATCCCCCCTTTGCAGATGGGGAAACTGAGGCACAAGGGAGGCTAAATGATTAATTTCATGACACTAATCAGCTCTAAACCTAACCACGTACCACCTGGTTGCCTGCAATTGAGGAAAACATGCAGCCACTGTCACGACAGGTGCACACATGCAGAAGCCTCCTTGGAGGATAGGGGACTTAACACCAGAGCAGAGGTCACACAGATCTGGGTCCCAGTTCAGTCCGGTGTGGCCCTGGCAACTGGTTTTCAGTAATCCCACATGTCCAGTGGGGGCAGTCGTGGCACCCACTTCCCAGTTGTAGAGAGGACTCAAATGATGGAGGCAACTGATGCTTTGGGGGTCTGGGTGAGATAACATCTCATTGTGGTGCTTGGGGTAGACTTCAGATCCGTGTCCTGGTCCTGCCCTGGGTACCTTGTGGTTTGAATAAGGCCCTTTTGTCAGCTGGATAGAGGGCATGATGAACTTCGTTACAGGGCTTTGAAAGTGAAGTGAGAGAGTTCAATGCCAGGGACACAGAGGAGAAAAAGACAGGCCTGAACCCACACTCATAGAGTGCCCAGCCCAGCAGGGTTCTCACTTCAGATTATGGTGAGGATGACAAGGACATCAATAACAATAGCTAACATTTTAAAAAATCAGTTACCATGCTCCAGGCTTTGCTTTCGTTGTTTAACGTGGATTACTTATTTTTATTTTTATTTATTTTGAGACAGAACCTCAAGCTGTCCCCCTGGGTAGAGTGCAGTGGCATCACAGCTCACAGCAACCTCCAACTCCTGGGCTCAAGCAAGTCTCCTGCCTCAGCCTCCCAAG